AAGCTGTTCTTTTTATTTAGAAAATAGCAGACCTATGTTGTACAACAAGCTGTTCTTTTTATTCCCTAATAACAGATCTATGTTGGTTTGATTTAAAAGGAGAAATATTAATCTAAAGTTTATGTATCACTTTTTCTCAAAAGCTCTCAGAGGATGAATAATTTGATCTGGTTAAGCATATTGAAAAATACCTATCATAATGTTAATCATCAATAATGTTATATTGTCATCAAAATAATTATAGGCACATCATCTTCCTTCTGTTTTAAAATCAACCATAATTAAAAATACCCATTCCTTGACTTCTTTGTTACAGTTGACAGGTAGACTGTTAATATTTTTTAATCTACTGAACTGGTCGATTACTAACTTGAGATTTTTTTTTTTTTTTTAAATCTGGGGCAGTCTGCAATAGTAAATTATTAAAGGTATGACAAGGTATTAAAATGTTCGAGAATCAAGTACAAGTAACAAATATAAATGTGAATATGAAAGTTAGTTTCAAAATGTTATTTATCAGAAAAATGGCATGTGAAAAAATTCTGGATGGAAGACAGTTGTGTATTTAGGTAATTGATCTGGAAACAATGAGTTTCATTTCAAGTTTTCAGGAACTAAGTCTTTTTTAGAAATTAATGAGATTAATCTTCACTAATAGGAAAAGAATGGCATTGAAACAGATTTCCAGCAACAAGTGCTTTGGAGGATTGCAGAAAGTATTTGAACATGACAGGTAACTATTAAGAAGATGTACACAGCTTTAGATATCTCGTTCAATTTTATTTGTTTTGCCTAATTTTAAACAAATATTTATATATTTTGGTATATCATTTCACTTTTGAATGTGGTTTCTCTTGTTATCTATATGACAGTTTCACCAAACTTAATTCTGTAGGGGTTGGACTGTGGAGCCTAACAAAGAATACCTTCCAGATTTGTGTTTGATGGCCTTCTAAAACTTTATGAAAACATCTATGGGGCCATTAAAAATTCTGAGAACATTTTTAGCTAATGTGTGACTAGAATTTGCCATATTGGACAGTATAGATATGGAACATTTTCATTATTGTAGAAAATCCTATTGAATAGTACTGCTTTGATGAGGTTTCATTTTTAGAAAATGAAATAGAATTAATTGTATTTGAGAGGAAATTTATGAAACTGGGTGAAGGGAATTTTTGATGTTGAAGTAGTGATAAAATAAACTCAGTGTCATTAATGTCACTGGGAAAGGGGTCCAAGGAGGTCCTTGGAAGAAGGGGACCTCAACTCAGGACAACAACTATCTTGATATCTGCAGCAAGACGAATTTCAAAACACACCAGTAAGAGGCACAGGCTGATTTATGAAGCAGAGGCAGTCAGTACACACCCAGAAAGACAGAATTGAGCGCAGACACTGAGGAGAGATGTTCTGTGGTCTTAGAGAATATATACTTATGATTTCTCAGGTATTCTAAGATGGGTTAGAATTTTGTCTAAAGTTAGGCTTTGAATTTTACCATTAATTAATAAGCTTATGATTACCTTCTGATGTTTGTTTCTCTACCTTCAAGTCAGAAGGTAGAGAACTATAAACTTAAGTTCCTGTAATCTATTTATTGTATAATCCTGTGTCATTTAGAGTTATCTTTCAAGAATTGTTCTGGAATGTAATCCTTTGTGTGCTCCAGGATCCTACTAACCATTTAATAGTTTTGCTTCTGCTTTGCTCCCTTTGAAGGTGGGGGAACTTTGAAGAGAGGCACAGCCTTAAAGTTTTGTGTGCCTGGTAGTTATGGCCTGATCCTTCTCCCTATCCCCATCTCAATAACAAATTTCTGTGTATGACATTCTGTTCTTTTGGTAATTGAGCAGCATCGTAATGACATGATAGGAACAGAAGTTTCAGAAGTATACTTGATAATTCTGTTTTTTTGTTTTTCCTTTTATGTTAGTGATAATCATACCACTGTTTGAAATATGCTTTAGACCTCATTTATAACACAGCTGGTTGAAATAGGCCTTTTTTTTTTTAAATTAGTATTGTGGTAAAAATGCTTAACATGAGATCTACTCTCTTATCAGTTTTTTTCCCCTGCGTGTGCCACTTTGTGTTTTCTTCCTTCCTTCCTTCCTTCCTTCATTCCTTCCTTCCTTCTTTCCTTTTCTTTTCTTTTCTTTTTTAACATCTTTTTATTCCTCTTAACAAATTTTTAAGTTTACAAAAAGGTTTTAAGGCACCAACTATCCTGGAACATGACTGTGCACTTTTTATTAAGCCAGTTGATAACAAATATTCTGGAATTGGTCATGGATCTGATGTGGTATATCATGAAAGAAGACAGCTTAATTTCCCTAACATTAGTTGAAGACCTAAAAACAGCTGCCAGAAAATTTTTATGACTTCTAATCATCCACAGGAAAAGATGTTTAAAATAGGGTAGAAAAATAAAAGCAAACATTTTCAGAGAATGGAAAGGAGCGTACAGAAAATTTCTCACTAGCAATGATGGGGTCTTTGTGGGAGTCTGTACCTAAAAAGTCAACATAGTCAAGTAACAAAAAGAATAAAAAAAATCAGTGAAAACAAAAAAGCATTAAAAGGAGAGGGAGGTAGTTCTGGCATACTACATGGTTCATCTCTAAATAGCATTTATAGCTTCTTCGTACTGATCAACTAAAATTGTATATTGAGAGGATGTGGCGAGGAGAAATGTAGGGAGGTACAGAGAACAAAGGTAGGGAAGTTAAATAAAATTCTTCCATAATGGAAATTCAGTAAATAATAACTAAAACTGAAAAATCAAGGAATAAATGAAGACCTGTCATAGATGTAGGGTAAATGCTAGAAGAATTAGCTATAAGAGGTAAATGGATCATCTCTTGAATGCGCCAAATGAAAAGGTTGTAGGGTGGGGAAAAACTAGTTTCATATAGAGTTTGTAGAACTATTTACTATTTGTTGTTATTATTTAAAGTATATGTGTAACAGTTTTTTAAAAGAGCTATTCTGAAGCAGTAAATCTAAAACTCCATCTGCAAGGTCAGGGTTGCATAAATGCCTGTTTATATGGGAATGTTCTATGGTTTTTATCAAAATTATCTTACTTGTGATAATAGTGATTTTGATAAAATATTATGATGAAAAAACAGATTAAGGATGTGGAACATTTCAGTGCTCCTGAACCAGCATGTAATTTAAAATATTTGCAATTAATTTTTTATCAAAGCTGATATATTTCATACATCCCTTTATAAATAGGAACAATTTTTCTTTTTTAATAATAGAAGTGCTACAATGAGGTCTACATTTATTTTTAAATTTATTCTATTCAAAATGACACTGTGCCATTCCAAGCAGAGCCTTACATTGGTTAATCATTATGCCCAACAGGTTTTCTTCTTTCTTTAAGGGACAATATATTCCTTAAGCCTAGGTGAAGTACTTAGTTTAGATATTCAACCACTTTTTTTGGACCTGTATTATATATTTTACTTTTTACATAGTGCTTAATTATTTTGTCTCTGACTTGATTAATAAAGGGCATTAATATTTTGTTGTGATGATTGTTTTTAAAATTATAGTGTTGAGCTGAAGTGCAAAATGAAATTTGCTATTTACTTACCACCAAAGGCAGAAAGTGGAAAGTGCCCTGCACTGTATTGGTTGTCTGGTGAGTATTATACATTTGAGTTTTATAAAGCAATTTCCTTTTAACTGGCTTTTCTTACCTTTTAACTTTGACTCAGTGGTATGCTTTCTGAGCCTCTTATAAAATAGAGGCTTATCATCACCTGCTTTGTAATTTTATCTTAAGAAAACTTCAGACCTGTGGAATTAGATTTACTTCACTCTTTTTTCAATTAGACCAAGTTACTTTGTAGAGAATGTACAGTCCTGGGCTCAAAGGTGAAGGTTTAGAAAGTTACTTATTTAACTTATACCTGCCCAAGCGTTTCTGCAGTTTGTAGAGACTTTGCCAAATAGAACACTGTTAGATGGAACCAGAGCACCATGGTACACTAATTGTAGACCACAGACAAGTACCTTCCTGCAGTGTTCTCTATAATATCTTAACTGGCCTCTGTAGATCTTCTCTTACAACAATCTAGAAAGTCACAAAGAACACTAATGCTTCTTACTCATTGGATAATACTCCTAATCAGACTGTACAATAGATTTGTGAGAGAGTAAGACTTTGACACTAGTAGTTTTGAACCTCTATGCTAATTTCTCTTTCACAAGATATTAGCACTTCATCTTTATAAGAAAGAGTTACAAGGAGAGAGTTATGGCACCCAAATTGTGTCATGGAGAGCTGTCGTTTCTTTAAAATAGGTTCTTACAACATTTATTTAATAAATCCTCCCTATGTATGTATATCAAGGAAACGCCCCAAGCACCAATTTGAAATGAGAATAAATGTTCACTTTAGAAAAAAGACTTAGTTATATATCTCATTTTAATTCAACAAAGCACTTCGATGACCAAATGAAGAACACCAGTTTTTCTTGGCAAATAGCAATAGCAACAAAATTAGACATTTAATTGTTATAGAATACATAGTAATATGTAGCTAAATATAACCTTAGGTATCATGTAATTCATAGAAATAAAACTGAGGCCCACAGAAGCTGAATACTGCCCAAAGTCACATAACAGTGTAAGGTTGAGCAGGTTTTCTGACTCACAGTCCAGATGTGTATTCAGTCTCTGTTCTTTTTGCATTGTTTCTGACGAGAGCTACTAAAGTCATAACTTTTGGTTAAACACTTAATCTGAGATCAGATTAATTCATAACCAAAATTGAAATGTATAAAAACAGATTAGTTGAGCTTTTTGGGGGTAAAATATAGAATTTTTGTTTTATTTATATTAAATGGCAGAACAGTTTCCTTAGTGAGATTCTGAACAGATAGACCTTGGTAATTAAGTCTTGATTTTCTAAAAAAAGGTAAGATTGTCTGACCAGCGCCCTTGAGAAATGATGACAAAAGGATATCAAAGTGTTTACTTACCAGTAAGTTGCTAAAGTTGACAGATTAGCTAAAATCAGAACATCTAAAGAAGTCTTCAAAGATAGTCCCCATGTGGTGATTCCTGTCTTTGGCAAATTAAGATGACTGTCACAACATTCTTTCATTAGCTATACAACCTAAGAGGATTGAAAACGTATACACAGAAATATGAACATTCATAGCACATTATTTGTAATAGCCCAAAACTAGGAACAAACCAGATGTCTACCAACCGATAAAATAATAAATAAAATGTAGTAGAATATTATTACAAAATAGAATATTATTAAGAAACAAAATTAATGAAGCCTTCATATATGCCACAATGTGGTTGTACTTTGAAAACATTCTAAGTGAAAGAATCCATCCACCAAAGACAACATATTGTTAAATTCCCCTTATATGACATGCCCAGAATAGGCAAATCCATAGGGGCAGAAGGTAGAGTAGTGGTAGCCTGGGTCTGGAGGCTGTAGGTAGAACAAATGGTGAATGGCAGCTAATGGGCATTGGGTTTCTTTTTGAGGTGATGAAAAATGTTATGGCTGCAGAGCCGTGAGTATACTAATAATCATTTAATTGAATTGCTCAGTAGTGTTGTTGCCAAAAAAAATTTATCTCTTCATATAGATGAGGTTGATTGAGTAGTTTTTTGGTTTATTGGTTTTGTTTTTTTTCCCTTCTTTTTTTTTTTTTTGTACTAGGGATTGAACCCAAGGGGCACTTAACCACTGAGAAACATCCCCAGCCAAGTTGCTCAGGACTCACTAAGTTGCTGAGGCTAGCTTTGACTTTGGAATCTTCCTACCTCAGCCTCCAGAGCTCCTAGGTTGAAAAGATTATAATTAGTAACTATCTATGTACTCTTAATGAGTAATCCTTCTGGTTGAATTATCTTCATTTCTGTGCCTCTACAATTCACTCTCCCTACTTTAATCAAGGAATTTGCATTCCAACTGGCACCTAACAGATTTTAATTTCTCAAGTGCAGGGTACTACTTGGTCTGTCCGAGACCCAATTCAAAAATCATTACATCTAATCACATTTAATCTTCTTATGATATAGAAAGAGGTGGCATTCTCCATTTTTCCAATGAAGGAACTCAGACTCAGAATTTTTAAGTTGGTTAGTAAAAGGCTGAGTGACACTTAGAAACAGATCCCATCTGAAATCCCAGACCCCTGCTTTCTACCCTATAACCCTTTCTCCTTTGAACACATTTACATTGAGGTCTGCAAAATGGTGAACTTTGACAGTAGTGGGGGCAGTTCTTCATCATGCTATGACTCAGTTGACTGGAAAACATACTGGCAAGAACATTAAATGGCAGAAGAGTTTTCTCAGTGAGATTCTGAAGAACAGATAGACCTTGGAAATTAAGTCTTGATTTTCTAAAAAAAGGTAAGATGGTCTAACCAATGCCCTTGAAAAATGATGACAAAAGGATTTCAGAGTGTTTACTTGTTTTCATTCAACTTACTGAACAATACTGGGTTTGTTTTCCTATTGAGCATATGCCCCCATATTGCCATTATACATTTGAAATTTTTTGAATTCCCAAGCACATCTGGTCCAAAGAATTTCAGGATTGAAAATTTAGGAAGTGACTTTGAAAGGATAATGATGTAATCATTTAGCCTATGATGGTTCTTTGATTTATACAATTATAAATAAATAAGGTAGACAAACCACTTTATTGCTCTGCCATGACTGATGAAAGTCTATGTCCTAACAGAGTTTAAGCATAAATGCCTGTAATGATATTTGTAACTTTGTGTCTTACTGTTGATTATTAATTTAACCAATATATATGGGCACACTATAAGTCTCTGTGCTCTCTATTATGGGAATTTAATTAGCAACTATAAAAGTGTTTTGTAGTCCATATTTCCTCATGCATATCAATAAGTTTTGATATTGCTAATAATCAGATGCAGTATTTTTCACTGACTGCTAGAAAAGGGCTATCAGGTGGTGCTTAGTTCAAGAATTTATTGCTGGTTCATTCTTGGTCATTCTCATGTCATCCATAGTCTTAGGAACCTATGGTAAGAGAATTAAGTTATCTCTTTATCACATGACTGAAATGCACAGAACTAGGAAAAATGACAGAAACTGTTCTAAAAACTGGGGCTAAAACTGAATTTAAGAAAGATATTATGTTCATTGTTGTTCTCCTTTTAGGTCAGTGAGAAATTATAGGATTTTTGCTGAGAACTATCTGTATATTTAAGTTCTTTGTGTTATGATAGCCATAGTATTAGCTTTTTTTTTTACTGTGAATACTTAAGTTTTTATGCTGATATAATAACACTTTCAGCTAATTTATCAATTTTAGTAATGTAACAATTGATGTAGTATTTTTGTAATTGTTTTCATTCAACTTACTGGACAGTATACCCTGCTGGGCTTGTTTTCCTGTTAAACATATGCCCTATATTGCCATTATATGTTTGAAATTTTCTGAATTCCCAAGCACATCTGGTCCAAAGAGTTTCAGGTTTGAAAATTTAGGAAGTGACTTTGAAAGGATAATGATGGAATCATTTAACCTATGATGGTTCTTAGATTTATACTATTATAAATTTTGTAAGAAAGGGAACTTAAATCTTACTCAACTTATATCTACAGCAAAATAATAACAACAAGTGAACTTGTTTTCCTGTACTATAAAAAGGTTAAAAGTTTCTAAACTATTCACAGTATAACACGAGATAACAGTAACAGTGCTTTTGATCTCCAGGTTTAACTTGCACAGAACAGAATTTTATATCAAAATCTGGTTATCATCAAGCTGCCTCAGAACATGGCCTTGTTGTCATTGCTCCAGACACCAGCCCTCGTAAGTATTCTTGCTACAGATTTTCTATAAAAATTTAAATATTTAAGGACTAAGTTATAAATGGTATGTACATTATATAATTTGTTTCATTTTTTGCTATTATCTCTTAAATCTTTCAAGTGACATCATGACTCTAAAATACCATGCTCTGAGTGAAAAGTGGAAGCAGGAGGGAATTATATCAGAGCACATTAGAAGACTTTTTCTTCAAGATAGAAAATTGAGCACAAGCTTGTCACAGTAGTAAAGAGAATTAAAGAAATAGAGTAGAGGGGGTGGGTTATTAGGAAGGGGCTCTCTATATAGTTCTGAAAGATAACTTCTTTATGGACACTTACTATAAAACAGGAAACATATATTCAGAATCCATAGATGGAACTTCATGAACAAAGAAAGATAATGAGCCTTACCTTGGAAGCTGAATTCTGTTTGGCAGGTCATTCCCTCTCACCTTATTGGCCAGAACTAGTCACATGGTCCCTATACCAGGCCAGGAGGTCCAGGAATACAGTCTTACCAAGTACTCCAAAAGAGAGAGTTCCTGAACAGCTATAATGCAAATGGATTTGCATATTTATCTAAAAGTACATTATTAAATAAATTACCAGAGAGTGGATAAAAATACCAGATTTTTTCTTGACAGGTGGCTGCAATATTAAAGGGGAAGATGAGAGCTGGGACTTTGGCACTGGTGCTGGGTTTTATGTGAATGCCACTGAAGATCCTTGGAAGACTAACTACAGAATGTACTCTTATGTAACGGAGGAGGTGATTTAATTAGTAGTTTAATTATTGACCGATAATTGTAAAGAGTTTAATTTTCGACACAAAGTCCTTCCAGTTCTCAGAATTTGAAATTAGAGTATAGTATTGGTGAATCTATTTCATATATTTTTATGAACTACCTTAGTGAAGATTGCAAAGTTTACTAATGTTATAATGATATTTGCTGCAGTTTAAATTAATACTAAGTATGAATTTAAAGATTTTAATAGTTATTGAGAATGTATATATTATCCAGCTTATCAAAGAAAATAGAATAAGCAATAACCTTTGATTTCCTGACAGATGGTTCATTCAAATGTATTTCATAGTGATAAAACAAGGCTTAGTTAGAAACGATAAGTGGTAAAGCATTACTTCTATTCATAATATTTATGTACAGTTTATGCATTTTTAAAAAATTTTATGATTTTATTACATCATTAAAAACTCAATAATTAAAATTTTAATAACAAATAAGTCTTACACTCTGAATAATAGTTGTGTTTTAGTATATTGCAGTTTTTTCTGTGATTAATTTTCACATAATTATAATTTTTTTGCTTTTCTTTATTTTAATTATAGAAAGTAAATACCAGTATTATTCTTATTTTAATAATTAAATAATATTCTGCCAAATGAAATAAACATTTTACATTGGAAAATAATACATTATGTTTTTGTGTATATTTTTTTACCACAACAAATGTTACTATGTTAATTGTCTTTGTACATAATTTTTTACCCCTAAGGATTTTTCCCTTGAAATGTATTCTAAAATGTGAAATTACTAGGTGAAAAGTTTGGAACATTTTAAAGGCTCTTTCTGCATAATCTTCCTATAAAGTTGCTTTTAAAGAATTCTATGTCCTATGTTATTCTGAGTGATATTAACAACTATTGTCTACCTGAGTTTTTGTTTTTATTTTTCTTTAGTCTTTATCAGCTGAAAACATGTTAACAATGTGATTTGGATATTGTGTAATTATTTTATATAACTTTGAAAAAGCCTAAACTTACTTTCTCTGATAATTTTTGTCATATTTAAATTCTTTCTAGCTTCCACAACTCATAAATGCCAATTTTCCAGTGGACCCCCAAAGGATGTCTATTTTTGGCCACTCTATGGGAGGTCATGGAGCTCTGATTTGTGCTTTGAAAAATCCTGGAAAATATAAAGTAAGATTACCAAAGCCTAAGGATAAATATTTTTCTTAAATAATATGATATTAGGAATTCTCAGATGTGAAAATTATGACAATGTTGTAGTATTGGGATTAAACTTTTTCTAAGTGTTGGGAATTTCAGGGTATTGACAGAGGGTATTAAGTTTGATTACATGACATGTTATAGAATCAGAAGCATAGGAATTCCATCAGAGTGGTTTCTTGTTGGCCTACTAGAAGTTTATAAAATGTAGCTTATTTTTTCCATTACTTTTATTCAAACTCTAGTTTTGAACTCTAAAAGTTGTTATATTTGATTAATGTTATTGTGACAGTTTGTCATTTATTTATACTTTTGCCAGGAATCTTTGAAAAATTTACTTAATTTTTTGAGGTTAAAGAAAATATTCATGATTTGTAGAAATTTAAGAATTTTCTCTTAATGCATCTACATGTAAACTGAATTAGAGCATGATTGAAAAACATCATTTTCAGCTTTTCCTATTATTTGAAGCTTTATAGCTTTACATTTTTGTTTGTTTAAGTGAGCCACGATTAGTAACCACCACATATGGAGTGTCATTCTGTGCAGAGCATATTTCAAGAGTTGAAAAGGAAATGTCAAAGCAATGATCATCTTAAGATTACTTCTGTTTTTAAAATTATAAAGCTACTCTGTATAGCAAGGTTTGTTTAACCCATTTAATTCCCTTAGTAAAGATGTCTTTTCCTTGTTTGTTTCTATTTTTGCAATGACGGGGATTGAACCAGAACTTTTTACACTTGTAGTAAAGATTATTTACTTTAGATGTGCTACTGAGAAATGAAAATATTTCTCATAGCAATTTCATAGTATAACAGTGGAAACAGGATTTTATTTTCTATTTTGTGAATATAAGGCAGTTAGTTTATTGTGTCTGAGGTATAAAAGCAACTTTAAATTTTTTGTATAAAATCTACTTGTTTTTAATAAAGGTATTGTTAAATATATACATTGATAAATATTCTAAAGCTGAGAGATTCCATCTTTGTACCTTTATCCAATGGAAAACAACATTGTAGGTTCTGGGGATGTGGCTCAAGCGATAGTGCACTCGCCTGACATGCGCAGGGCGCTGGGTTCGATCCTCAGCACTGCATAAAAATAAAAATAAAGATGTTGTGTCCACTGAAAAAACTAAAAAATAAATATTAAAAAATTCTAAAAAAAGAAAAAAGCAACATTGTACAAAACACAAAATTGAGTTAAAAATTTTGTCATGTTGAAGGTATTCCTCCTCACTGCTTTCTTTCACTGTTTAAGAGAAATAATGTCTCAGGTGTAATAATATGTTCACTAAGGTAAGAACGAGCTGTTTCATATTAGTATGGACTAGTTTTCAGGGGAAAAAGTAGTAGAAACTCTGAACACAAACTTTTGTTTATACCTTCATTAAATAAACCCATGGTTTTATGTTATTTGGGCACCTATAATTATTAGCTCTCTTAGAGTATACAAAAGACTGTATTATGGAGAGGTGTACAGTGGAGGCCTGTAATATATCAAAAGAAAAATTGTTCACAGGGATTTTCATTGCAAGTTATTTTTTAAGCTAGTTGAAAATATCTATTCATATTTGATTTAGCAAAATTAAACTTATTTTTGAATTTCCTTTCTTTCTGAAGTCTGTGTCAGCATTTGCGCCAATTTGCAACCCAGTGCATTGTCCTTGGGGCAAAAAAGTCTTTAGCGGATATTTGGGAACAGATGAAAATAAATGGAAGGTAGGTCCTAGATAACGTTAATACTTGTTCTTAAGTTTCCAAGTTTTTAAAAAGCTTACACACCATAGATATATGCCTAACCCCTCGAATTAAGGCTCTAGAGCGGAGAATAAACTTACACGTAGAATTATATAAGTAATCTAAAGATGATTTAAAGAATGCAGAATAATGTGTGTAGGCTCTATACAAATACTATAGCAATATGTAAGGAACTTTAGCATCCACACATACTGGGTGTTTGAGAGACCTTTAGAACCAGTTCCCCCACAGATACTGAGAGATGACTGTGCCTAACAACCATCACAAAACCCAAATTTCTAATTTTATTGAGTCATGAAAGATGCTCTGAGGCTACTTTTTATTTTGCTAATGGTTTATTTATATTTTTATTTCAAAATAAAAATTACTTCTAACTTAACCAAGAAATATCACTTTATTACTAAATTTTAAATCATATGTCTGATGTAAGCAGCCTCAGAGCTTAAATAACTTTAAATTTTCTTTCGATCTTGGCATACTATATTCAGAAGACTATCTTCTTATGAACTTTTAAGTTTAGTTTTCAATATTTCCTCTTTCAGGCATATGATGCGACGTATCTTGTAAAGTCCTATCCAGATACTCAGCTTGACATACTAATTGATCAAGGGAAAGATGACCAATTTTTGCTAGATGGACAGCTACTCCCTGAACATTTTATTTCTGCCTCTTCAGAAAAGAAAATCCCTGTTGTTTTTAGATTACAGGAGGTAAGTACTAGGAAACTTAAGATATTCTAAATAATAAATCTAAAAAACAGGATTCCATAGTAAATCTCTTTATTTTAGAATATAAAGTTACTATTTTCTAGTCAGATAGTTCAACTATATTAAGACTCTAGAAGTGAAAGCTTTCCTATTAAATTCATGATATCTGAGACCCAATTTGATAGAAATGGGAAAGCTTTAGGCAATGAAAATTATTTAATTTTCTCCCTATTGTCAAGACTTAATACTTGAATGACACTGAGTCGCTAACATAAGTGAACGTATCGTTCTTTACACATGCACCCTGATACAGTAGAATAAGGACAAGCTTTTCTGTTCATTACTCTGCATTTCATATGCACATCTTAGCCTTAGAAACTGAGCATTGTTCCTCTCATATATGTGCTTTGCATTATTTGACCTTTATGCTACTTTGTTGTACTACTCCCAGTGATTTAAAAATAATTCCTGAATTTCAGTTGGATTGGAGATTTTCCTTCACTGAAGTACTGTAGTTTTAAGTAAAGAAATTCTGCTTTTTTAAAAAAGTATTTATAATCTTCAGAGCATAATATAAACAGAATCTATTTCAGGGTGAGTAATGAACACTGAAAATCATAGACAATGCTGATTTTTTAAAAACATTTTTGATTCATGTTTAAGAGTAATGTATCAGCCATTGTAATTATGATGGTAAATGTTCAAATAAATGTAGTCAGTGTGTAATGTGGTTCCTTATAGTTTACAAAATGTTTTCATGGCTTTAACTCATTTGCAGTCGTTACACCACCAAATGAGAGATCATTTCTTTCCTGTCCATCTGTTTTACAGATGAGGAGACAGTCTCAGAGAGGTAGCCTATTTATCTAAGGTCAAACAACTAGTATCTGGTAGAATGGGGACTAGAAGCAAAGTCATGACTACAAATGCTGTCCTCTGTCATCTGTCTAGCCATTCCCAGGCAACATGATGTGATCCTAGGAGCAAAGGAATGGAGTAAGAGCTAGCACCAGAGAAAATGTACATAACCTGCTGACTCTATAGTTTATGTAGTAGATCTTAGCAACGTCCTTTACAAGGATATTTTGAACATATGGGGAAAATATATATATACACACACACACACACACACACATATGTATATATATGTGTGTGTGTGTGTGTATATTTTTTTGAGATATATATATATATATATCTTGTTGTCTCTTGAATTTTCATCCTTAAGTAATAGAATATTTTCTAGGTTTATTTGAACATTTTACCATCACAATTAACATTTTAGA